TGTTGCCATTTTCAGCAATATCAAATGTTCTTTTCAGCAAATATGCTCTCAAAAGGACTTCATGCATATATTACTATAATATAAACATTTAAAAATACCATAAAGGCATTATTATAAGAGAAAATGTTTCTAATAGAGTCACTTCAGATTATACTCTTAACAGCATCAAGATCCATAATGATACCGTGGAGAAAAAAAAACTGTGTCTGAACTTACAGAGTTCAAGAAAATGTCCAAAGTTTGGTAGCTCAAAAACCCCAGAACACTGGAACTCCTCTACACTCTAATACTCTGCAGACACTTGTGAGGAAGGAATTCTTCTTATCCACAAGCAACCAGAACGCATCTATGTAGCTTCCACATTGCACAGAGGATTGAGTCATGCAGCAAACTACTGAATCATTTGGCCAGATAATTTACACACAGTTGTAGGAACTGCTGGTGGGGATTTTAAGAGCTTTTCATAAATCGAATCATGAAGCTTTTAGAGTCATAAATCATAGAGTTCATTGTTATTCAGATGGTGTAAAATATCTCTACCATTTCTAAGAGTGTGCAACTTACAAAGACAGTTTGAAAACTGAAATCATTTCCCGAGTAGGTTCAAGGTGAGGTTTGTCCTATGACTTCTGGCATCCCATTATTCTTTTTTTTGGGGGGGGGTGTTGTTGTTAGTTGGTTGGGCTGGTTGGTTAGAGACAGGGTCTCACTGTATAGCTTTGCCTGGGCTGGAACTCAGTATGTAGACCAGCATGGCTTTTAATTCACAGAGATCCACTCACCTCTGCCTCCCAAGTGCTGGGATTAAAGTTATGTACTATCATACCTGGCTCTGACATTACTAAATGAAAAAAAAAGAAAGAAAGAAAAGATAATATGTTCACAGTTGCATAATAAATACTATAAGTGAATTTAAAATATTGATTAATATTCATTAAATCAATTTAATATCTTCCCAACAATAAAACTACAGCCACCTTGAAATGATTATTCCTATTTTGAAATCTTTAGGACTTCCACATTCATTTTAAATTTTATTTTCTGCATTAAATATTTTGTACTATTGCAGCCATTTGTTCATTGCCTGAAAGAATAGTATTGCTTAAAAAGGGAAGAAACGCTGTGTATCAAGAAAACTGCACAAGTAACTAGAGATGGTTGAAAAGCTTTTCAATAACACATAGTTTCGGAGGTTTTGTGATTATCCTAGTGTAAGAATAGCCCAAGAATTCTCGGGAACAGAAAGAAAAGTGCGTTAAAACGTCTGTATAGCCCCGGACATTGTGGAGTGGAGTAGGAAAACAAACAGCAAACACACCAATTTAGAATGTAGGAGAGTTGACATTTCAAAGCCCACAGCACTGGCAGCCCCAGCTCTACCGTAGGAGTTTCCAGCTTGGAATCCATAGGGGAGTTTCTAGGGATCTGTGTTTATATGGGGGTGGGGAATCTCAGCTCCACCTACTCATGATCTCCAGCCTTCCGCCAGAGACGGGATGCCATGGCTTGTACTTATATCCCTTCCAAAGTGCATGTTGAAATTTGACTGTTGTTATGTAGTATTGGGAGGTAAAAATTTTTGAGCTGGACCCTCGTGAAGGCTTCTGTGAAATTAATGTTCCTATCTTAAAAGTGGGTTGTCAAAGGGGAAGCTCAGCTCCTTCCTCCTTCCCTCTCTTCTTCTGCCTTGAAATGAGGCAGCAAGAGGGCTCTAACCACGTGCTGACATTCTTAGACTCCACAAGTCTGTGTACATACATATGTAAGTGTGTATACATACGTACATACATACAGACAGACAGACAGATAGATAGATGATAGAGATTTATCATTTGCAGTACTGGGGAACGAACCCAGGGCCTTGCCCATGCTAGGTGAGCACACTACCCCTGAGTTATACTACAGTGCAAACCAATACTGTTCACTGTAAAGGACCAAGCCTGTGCTGTGTGTTCCAGCATCACAGAATGTCCTCCATTGAGGTGTTGCTCAGGCATCCTTGTAAGCCTGAGTTCTTGCTCCCTGTCACATGGCCTAGCCATCAGGCCTCGGTTTTCCATCAGCATAACTACTTTCTGTCACAACTCTATCACAGACTTTTTATTTCACTATGTGACCGCCAAGCTCCAAATCCTCAGGTCTAGTATTCTGTGGAACCCTTATCTCTCAGTCCTACAAGTTCTGTTCCCTCCGAGTTCCCCCTGTCTGTCCAAATAGTGAAGACTGGACACAGTGTTCATCCCGCCAATCAGTGAAGAAGGGAGACACAGAGCTCATGCTTTCCCCACAGAAATGGACTTTGACTCATCGTCCCTAAGGGCCTCGCGATGACTTCTGGGAGCCCAGTACTTTGCTTGCTGCTCTCTGCAGAAACCTCATGGCCATCTGTCACGAGATAATAATCTACCTTGGAGCCTACTGCAGGCCTGCAGTTCCTGTCCCAGACTTCCTGTCGACCTCCAGCCTGGTAAGCTAGTCTCAGGCTGGGGCCTGCTGGAGGATTCTTGAAATCCCACCGCTCAGAGGCTGGAAGCAGCAAGATTGCAAGTTTCAGACCAGCTTAGGTCATGCAATGTGACGATGAGCCCCAATGGTCAGACTGAGTGGATTTGGAATTGCCTAGAGGACACATCTCTAGGTGTGTGTGTCAAGGTATTTCCAAAGAGCTTTAACAGAAGGTCTGAAGACAGGGGTCCAAGACTGAATGCATAAGGAAAAGGGAGGCCTGCTTCCTGACCGCAAACTCTTGCCTCCATGTCTTCTCCACCGGGATAGACTGCGTTCACTCAAACTGAACCAAAATCAACCATTCCTGAAGTTAAATTCTTCAGATATTTTGTCACAACAATAAAAAAAGACTAATACGAGAGACCTGCCTAAAATGAACCTGGGTGTTAGCACCTGGATTACAAGTGCCACAGCACCCCGGAGGTGGGCTGGCAGGGTCGGCACGGGACAGCATGCTCCAGTCTTCTTCAGTACTGAATGGCCGGCTGCCTTGGTACAGACATCCTGGTGATCATAGATAATGCCTACTGTGTGCTTGCACTTCTACTTAATGCATTGCCTACATTTGTTTATTCTGTCCACACAGCAACCATGGGTTAGGGCTACACTTGCCTTACATGAGTGCTCCAGAGCTTACGATGGAAGGTATCTGCTTCCCCACCCAGGACCATACAGCTAGCAGGTGGAATTAGGAGTTTCCTAGCCCTCCAAAAAGCCCTTCCTGTTGTGTGCTTTCATCGGCATTGCCTCCCACCCCTGCAGCTCCTCACCTGAAGGAATTCCTGCTAGGGATTGCTGGGCAGCGGCTATTCCAGTTATTTTTAGAAGAAGCTCTAACCAGGTTATTGAGGACTAAACCGGCCCTTAGGAAAAGTCTCTGAAGTTTCCTGGCACACAGTGTGTATGTTTTCCTTTTTATTTAACTGGGAAGAAATTTTCCTAGATCACCTCTCATAAACTTTCAATCTAATGAGATCCCTTTCATTAAAATTTTATCATTTTTGTTCTGTTTCAGTCTCGTGTGCCCGTTCCCATTCCTTAGGGGAATATGAAGTAGCACCCCCATAGTGCTAAGCACCTTCGAAGGAACCAGGCAGACTCATCTTGGAAAACAGTCACTATTTATCCTCTATTTAAAAAAAAAAAAATGTAGCACTGATAACTTTCTATTTACAGGAAGCTGAGCTTCATGGCAAAAGCATCTTAAGCACTGAGATTAATCAGGCGTAATTTTTTGAGTCCTCTCCAGCCTTCTCTATTTTAAAGGACCCTCCTACTACTCCCACATGTTTAATCTAACCTTATATGAGAGGAATCAGTTAATAATCAAAATATTACTGTTAATCAGCATGATGTTAATATCAACCCAAACGTGGTTCTGTTATCGTCTCCACTTTACAGATGGAGAGCTTGCTCAGAAAGGCCCAGCACAGTGGATACTGAGAGCCGGGGCTGCAGATCCAGGTGGTTCAGTGTGGTGCGAAGGACATTCTTTATATCCCAGTGTGTGGCCCTGCTTCACCGTCTCATGTGTCTGGATGAGGTTTAGACTAGAAGATTAACACCACTCACACAAACTTCAGCTCTACTTTAAAAGAAGTTTCTACATAAGCTTTTCTACCAATTCTTTTTTTAATGTTTTCTTTATTATTTATTATAATAAATAAGTGTTCTGCCTGCATGTACACCTGCAGGCCAGAAGAGGGCACCATATCTCATCACAGATGGTTGTGAGCCACCATGTGGTTGCTGGGAACTGAACTCAAGATCTTTGGAAGAACAGTCAGTGATCTTAACCTCCAAGCCATCTCTTCAGCCCATTTTCTACCAATTCTTATAAGGATGGATTTAGTAGGGGCTGGCTTCTCCACAGCAGAATTAACAGCTCACAAAATTGTCCTCAAAGACTACTAGTGCTGAGCCTCCTGCTGCTCGTGGCCTTGAACACTCCAGAACCCTGAAGTTAGGACATTGTTTTGAATGTCTATCCTGTCTGTTGTCCTTCCTTGCCTTTGTGTGGCTTCCTGACATTATATACATCCCAGAAATAATAACTTACATTGCGTAACACAATGTGATTTTTACCTTGTCTTTATTTCCTAAACAATACATACAGTATGATAGTCACACTGTTGTTCTCTTGTTTTACAAATTTTTTATTCCTAAATAAGGAATTGAAGGCAAGAAAAACATTTATCTACAAATATTCAGTCAAGACTTGACCTTTCCCTAAACATCTTTTTGTGTGATAAGTTGAACACAAACGTAAAACCCCGTGGGTGTGCAAAGCAGCTGTGCTCTCGGTCTCCACCTTTAACCTTTCCTGGTTCTGGTTGTGACAAGCTGCCGCAGCCTTGCCAGCACTTCTCTCAGAAAGAAGTGTTCCTTCCTCACAGTCTGTCCATTTCCACTATTCTGGTGAACTTATTGATAGTAGAAAGCTCTGCTCATAAATAAGTAAATGGATATATTTTTCTTTTTTCTTGTGAGTGTATTTTTCTTAGTGACATCTACATAAGAAACCAGGAAACATTACCTGTAAGGATGTATAATGTAGCTGAACATTTTATACATTTTTTAATTTTAATGTTGCTTCAAGTTGGCATGAATAGTAGAATAAGAAGAGGAATTAGTAGTAGTAGATAAAGGGGGAAGCACTTACGATGATTTAGTAAGTAATTATCTGAAATACATGTTGAGACCTAAAATATGAGAGTTTAGAAAACACAAAATTAAGGGGGACATTGATAAATGGCAAGCAACTTTTTTCATGAATATATGTCATCAATAGATGATAGTTGTTTCAAAGAGAACTAGCTTGTCTTTTCATGTTTCAATTGATTAGATAAATTAATGATTAAGAGTTGAATTACTCCTTTTTTATGCATAAGCATTGACTCTGGTATCAACATTATTACATTAGTGAATTTAAAAATTGATTTAAAAGTCATTAAAGTTGTAGAATACCCTTACTTTAAAAAAAACATAATGATCATACCTTCCTCTGAACTTTCAAGATGAATAAAATGTTTTACACAATAAAAAGAAATATGAAGTGGGGGACATGGCTTGTGAGTATGCCAAAACAGAACTGTTAGTTGAATTTCCTCTCCTTAGGCTCAACTCTACACCTCTGTTTTTGATGAATGGAGTGGGTACGGCACTGAGTATCAGGTGGACAAGTAGTCAGGGAAGAAAAGCCAGGGATTAAATCACTACAAAATGTGGTGTTTCTTAGAAAATGTTTTAGAGGCCTTGAAACCACAGAAAGCCTTACTCGGGTCCTCCTGAGCTGCTTACACAGCTCCTGACTTTCCGGTGACGACGGATGGGAAGGACGCCATTATGGAGCAGTTAAGAGACCTTCCATGGTTGCTAGCCTTTGGTTTCTATGGTATCCGTTTCTGCTTGTAGAAATCTCCTTGAATCCAGCCACACTGTGTAAAGAAGACAAACACAGATCGTTTAGTACTTATTTCTCTTAGTTCTCAAGCCGGGTCATGCCAGACCGTGGAAACCAGAAATACTTATGGTTTCTGTTTCTGTGAAGAGACACCATGACCACTGTAACTCTCATAAAAGAAAACATTTCTTTGGGGCTGGCTTACAGTTCTGAGATTTAGTTCATTATTTTCATGGCGGGAAGCAAGGCACCAAGCAGGCAGACATGGTTCTGGGGAGGTACCTGAGAGCTCTATATCTTGTTCCGCAGGCAACAGGAAGTGAACTGTGTGTCACACTGGGCACATCTTCAGCATTGGAGACCTCAATCCCCACCCCCCACACTCACACACAGTGACACACTTCCTCCAACAAGGTCACACTTACTCTAACAAGGCCATACCTCCTAAAAGTACCACTCCTGAGGCCCACTTTCTTTCAAACCACCACATTTTACTCCCTGGACCCCATAGGTACACATATCATAATGCAAAAATGCATCCAGTACAACTTCAAAAGCCCCCATGCTCTGTAACAGTCTCAAACTTATTTAAAAGTCTGAAGTTCAAAGCCTCTCCTGAGATTTATGCAATCTCTTAACTGTGTAAAATCAAAAAGCAGACCACATACTACCAACATATAATAGTACAGGATATACATTACCATTTCAAAACATAGGGAAAGGAACACAGTGAGGAAATACTGGACCAAAGCAAGACCAAAAACCAGCTGGGCAAACTAAACTCTACATCTCCACGTCTGATACTGTGGTAGTTTGAATGGAATTGGCCTCCATAAGCTCATAAGGAGCATCTCTATTGGGGGGTGTGGCCTTGTTGAAGGAAATTTGTCACTGTGGCGGTGGGCCTTGAAGTCTCTTTTGTTTAAGCTTCTCTCAGTGTCACAGATACTTCCTGTTGTCTTCTTATGATGATGTAGCCAACACAAGTCCGCCTGCATGCCGCCATGTTCCTGGTCATGATGATAATGGACTATACCTCTGAAACTGTAAGCAAGCCACCCCAATTGAATGTTTTCCTTACAAGAGTTGCTGAGGTCATGGTGTCTCTTTGGAGCAATAGAAACCCTAAGACAGATGACAAAACACTCCAGATCTCCAACTCCTTTCAGCTTTGTTGATTGCAACACACTTCTTCCTCTTGGGCTGATTCCACTCCCTGTTATCAACTTCCTTTGGTACACATCCCACGACTCTGGCATCTTCAACATCGTGGGGTCTCCAAGGCAACCAGGCTTCACTTTCACAGCTTCCCGCAATCTAGGCCTCCATTCAGGGACACCCCTGACACAGTCCTGGCCTCAGTGGCTTTTTTTTAGTCACAGAGGAAGATTCCATAATCCCTTTCTTCTATCCTTGACTCTAAAACCAGAACCACAGTGCTGAAGCTGTCAAGCTCTGTTGCTTGTTGGGACTGGATCATGGCCACCTCATCAATTACATCTTCCCCAGCTTTCTGTTTTCAATGGTTACCTTTACTGTCTAAGCTTAACTGTTCTGGAACTTGTCTGTAGACCAGGCTGGCCCCAAACAGAGAGTTCTGTCTGCCTCTGCCTCTGCCTCTGCCTCTGGTGTATAAAGGTATGCACCACCACCCCAGTCTCTGAGCTTTTCTTTAATCCCTTTTCACTGTCAGAAGTTTACCTGGGCAGAATCTTGCCCTGAGGTCACCACTCCCTTTATTCTATTTCTTGCCTGTTTATCACCTTGAACTCAGGATTTAGTTCCCTTCCATTTCCTGGTGCTCCTTTTCTCCTCAAATTGTACATTTTCTATTTTTACTTGCTCAGTACTCCTTTTCATTTTAAATCTTCATTAGAGTTAACACTAGAAACCTCATGATCAAGTCAATACTAGGCTGTTTTAAGATTTCCTCAGCCAACAAAATTATTCTAAAATTCTTCACTTTTGCCTCAGGCAAACTTTGCAGACAAGGGCTATGGGACTATGAATTAGAAAAGCGGTTGAATGATTATAGGTTAATGGGCCATCCAAGTAGTAACATGAAAGGTAGTAGTGCTGAGGGTGGGGGCCTGACTCAAGAGGTTTCAGAGGAGATGAACTTTAGTATATAGTCTAGAGATCAGTCTTGTGATATTTTGGTGAAGAATTCGGCCCCAAGTGGTGAGGTCTATCTTCTTTGACAGGTATGCTACAGGTACAAAAGAAGGTCCCAGTTGATGTCCTAAGACCCCAAGGGCATATCCCTCCTTCTCTACTACATAAAGAGAAAAAGGGTGAGTTAGATCCGGAAGATGAAGAGCTGGAGCCTGGATAAGGGCCCGTTGGAGTCTTTGGAAGGGTTTGGTAACTGGATGGAGAAGGGGCTCATGCAGAGAGCCGAGGGCTGCTTCATATAGGGGGCGGGCAAGGAGAGAAAAGGAGGGGATCCAGGAACGCAGAAAGCTGACCACTCCCAGAACGATAAAACTTCTTCTTTGGTGGAAGGAAATGAGTAGTAGATAATTGAACCTTAGAAGGTGAGACTCTATAGCCCCTTTTAGATATGAAATTTAAAAGGGCAACAGTATCTGTCTTGCTGATCTCCAATGATGGGCTACAAAGTAAAATGTCATCCACGTATTGTATGAGCTTGGATTTAGGGAGAGACAGTAAGAGCAGATCAGAGGCCAAGGCTTGGCCGAAGATATGTGGGCTGTCTCAGAAGCCCTAGGGGAGAACGGTCCAGGTGAGCTGTGTGGAAAAATTAGTGTCAGGGTCTGTCCAGGTGAAGTCTCTGGGTCCGATGCCCCCATGCCACTGTGTGCACGAGGACAATCTACAGACCAGTGACCTTCCCTGTAACACCTTGGACAAGGTCCCCTGGGATTACGATGGGGATTAGTGCATCCTCAGGCCCAGTGGCCCATCTTACCGCACTTGAAACATGGACCTGGTGGCTCACGCACCCCGGGAGGCAGGGGGGCAGCATGAACAGGGCGGGTCGAGTAGTCTGTCACCTTGGCTGGCAGGGAGGCTGTGGCTACCACGTGGCAACGGCAGTGGTTGAGAGCTTTGTCATTCCTTGCATGGTACACCTTAAAAGCCATCTCCAGGACTTCTGCCTGTGGGGTTAAGGGGCCTTTCTCCAAATGCCTGAGCTTGGCCTTGATGTCTGAATAACACTGATTAAAAAAGTGAGTCATTAATAGCTTTCTGCCCTCGGGGGATTCTGGGTCCAGGTTCGTAAACTGTAATGGAGCTTTTGTAAGGCGTTCCAAAAATGCAGAAGGATTTTCCTTTGTGTCCTGAATAATTTCTGAGAGTTTAGAATAATTTACTGGCTTGAGGGCAGCCTTCCGGAGGCCTGTTAGGAGACAAGTTAAAAATCGGTCTCTGGCCAAGATCCCACCTGGAGTGTTATAATCCCAGTGTGGTTCTTGGTCTGGGACTGCCTCTGCCCCAGGAGGGTGGGAGGCAAGAGTCTGGTGAACTTCATCTGCATGCTGTCTGGCTTGCTCCCAGACCCGCCTGCGCTCCTCGGGAAGTAAGTTATTGGACAGGGTCATAAAGATGTCATGGAAAGTGAGATTATAGGATTGAGTAATATATTGAAATTCTTTTATGAAAGTGGTAGGATTAGACATATAAGACTCAAGTAATTTGGCTATATGGGAGAGTTCCGAAAGGGAGAATGGAACGTGAGCCCTAACCAATCTGTCAACGCCAGCCACCTCCCTCAATGGCAGGATGGCAGCAGGCTTGGCTTGATCAGGATTAGGCTCCGTGGCGGCCCACTAACGCATGAGCGGAGGAGTGAAGGAAGGTGCCAGAGCAAGGCGGCTGACACGAGAGGAAGGGGAACTCAGAAGGGCTTTGGACGACCGAGGAGGCAGAATAGGGCGTGAGCGGGAGGGAGATGGGGAGGATGAATCTGAAGAGGCTTCTGGCGATCTACATGACCTGCGACGAGAAGAGGGTGAGTGGGAGGAAGTGGAACCGGAGGAGCTGGATGGAGACCTGTTGGCAGGAGAGGGAGAATGGTGCTTAGGTGAGGCTTTTTTAGATTTTGAGTAGGATTTGTGTGAGGTTTTCGGTGACCTAGAAGGAGAAAGGTTAGGTGAGGTTTTCTTATGACTGAACCTGGAAGAAGATCTATGTGGGACTTCCGGAGACCTAGGACTGGAAAGTTTATGTGAGGTTGTGTTTGACTGGGTAGAGTGAGAGCGAGCAGGTGAATAGTGAGCAAGGACAGAGGGGTTAGTCTTAAGGGCCATATAGAAGAAAGCAGAGAGATAGGAGAGTTCTTTCCATCTGCCCGTATGATTGCAATAATTTGATAACTCCCGTAAAATGTCGGGGTCGAAGGTGCCGTTAGGCGGCCATTTGCAGTTTCCCTCTAAGGTATACTGGGGCCATTTTTTGGAGCAGAGACAGATGAGTGTGGAAATCTGTAGGGAAGGCATCAAAGCGTGAGGCTGCGTGGCATCCAAAAGACATTCTAGCGGGGAGTTTGGAGTGATAGTTTTAGACGATTTGCCCCCCATAACTAAGGCCATAAAAACACTCGCAAAAAAAAAACCGTGGCACCTCAAGCCTACAGCGAGAGTGACTCCCCATTAAGGCGAGATGCATATGGGGACTGGCTAGGCCAAGCCATCCCAGGCACGGGCTTAGCAAAGGGGACAAGCTGGGAATGAATGCCAGCGAAGGGACTCCAGGCCCTGAAGGCCCGCGGTTGGGCAAAATCCCCCCAACCCTAGAAACACCGGGAGTACCGGTCAATTCCCAGGTTAAAAGAGTTGATTAAGCTGGCCAGAAGGGGACACTCACAATTAGAAGCCAGTGTTGTTCGTAGGAGCTCGCCCAGGCAGATAGAACACATGGGTCATTGTAGAGGAGGTCCTCGGTTCTGTTCGCGTCCCGGAAGGAAGTCGGAGGCCCAGGAGGCGCCTGAAGCCTGAGCTCCGGTTTTTGGCTCCAGGTCGAGTCGCGGCACCAGTGATGTTCTTTCTGCGGAATATGGAAGAAACCACGAGGTACAAAGGAACCCACTTGTAACTTTATTACAGGGAAAGGCGTGGTGGACCATGCAAGTGGGAAACAGGAAGGAGAGAGCGGAAGTACCGCGCTTTGCCTTTTAAAGGCCACCCCAGCATACACGCATCAGACGCTGCATTTTGCGTCTGCATGTGGGTTTTTTTTTTTTTTTTGCGTTTTTGCGTTGCATTGTGGGTGCATTGTGGGTGCATGTGTTTCTGGAAAATGAAGTCTTCCGAGTCAGGCAGACAATGCTGTACTCTGCGCCTGTGCACAGGGACCTCCTGGGAAATGTAGTTCCCCAGGAGAATAACAATGAGGACAGTGGTGTTCCACCGGGCTGGTCACTGTGGAAATGATGCTCCCTCTGGACAAAAGTTATTGCTGGGAGAGGCTCATAGACACGGGAATACTCGGAAATGTAAAGAGACTCCATAGAACAGGGCCCTAGAGATAAGTTCTCCCAAGTCATTGTCCTCCCTCCTTCTTCACTGCCCCCTGGAACTCCACTGGCTGAATTCAGTCCCACAGAGGACAGCAGAGCTAGTGTGACACTTCTGCCTCTAAACTTAGCAGAACAGAGAGAGTTAGGGATGGGATCTGGCAAGACAGAGGAATCCAGCCTTAGTGTCTGGGCAGGAATATAGTTGTGTGAAGCATTTCATAAGGATTCCATGACTCCTGTCTCTGAGAGTCTAGAACCACAGAGTCTAGACAAGGAGAGACTTCTGGGGCAGTAGTTACTGGCGTTGATAGCCTACTGCAGAGCTGCTGATGAAAGTCTTTAGTTTGCTTACAGGTCAGCAGCAAAGAGTCATTGCCAGAGTCTACTGGGGATCTCAGTTCTCTCATCTTTAAAGTACAGATATCCTTTTCATGTACTTCAGATTAAACATGTTAATACATGTTTATTAAATGCTTATAATAGTTACATGCACCATACATATGTACCCATGCATTCATAGGAGGAGAGAACTCAATAAATTCGAGCTGTGGACTTATTATTACAAGACTGGAAAGATGTGAGTATATCATGCAGGAAATACAAGGAGGTAAGTAAGTTTTTTTTGTAAGTAGTGGTTACGTTCAAGACAAGGCATGACTTTGCTGGATAGTCTTCAGTGTAGCCTCTGTAAAAGTTCATCTACAGACCCTAATCAAAGTGGGTTTCTTTCCTTTCCCTTTATGGAAAGCCTAAAATGATTCAAGTCTATAGTTCGTCAACCTTACTTAAATATTTTAAGGTTCACAATACTCCCCAATCTAATATAAATAACATCATAGTTTAGCAGCATGTTGATCCATTCTGAAGCTTATTGAAAATTAGTAAGATGGCTTGGTGGATAGAGATGCTTGTGGTCAAGCCTGATGACCTAAGTTCAATCTGCAGAACCAACATGGTGGGAGGAGAGAATTGACTTCCTCCCACAAGTTGTCCTCTGACCTCCACACTTGTGTGTGTATACATGTGTCTTATGTGTGTATAGGTATTTGCATCACATATGTAGATTCATGTATATTGTCCATCATTTTATTCAAAGTGTAGCAGCAACTAAATTTTAAAGGAATTTTGAATGATTTTGATGCCATTTGAATATGGAGAAGCAAGTTGTGCTGCCCACAATCGACCCTCGTAAGCCTCATAATCTCCCAACAGAAGTAAAGCACTAGCAACTTTGTACTGGTGTTTTATGCTGGCAATGGCCGCTATACCTGGCGCACTCGAAGAGCAGCCAGTTATAATCCTTCCTATCTTGGCTTTTCTTCCTCTAATAAATACACAATTTTTTCACAGTAATAGAAAGCATCCCACTACTCTATATTCTACATTGTTAGAAGTCTGGGCTACAACTAGAAATCTTTTCAGACCTCACTAAGTCAGCCATGGGCTGTGTAGAATGCCCTTCCACTGTTTCAAACACTTTGAGGCTCACATAGGAAGAGCATTCAGCTCATATTCTGACCTGAGCATGGATGGGGCTTCAGCTTTGTGTAATGCATTGTTCATGTCTCAGTGTTTTTTATGTAATTCATAATATGAATTTTCTATTACAAAGGAAGAAGAGACAATGGAATCGTATTTTGGTAATCATTTAGTTTCCTTCCCTTCAGTGACTGTTGTTTCTTAGAATTTCAGTTAGGCTTTGAATTCATGCATTATGTCATTGGTTTGTTAAATGCAAGCAAAAACTACATTAAAATTTTATATTTGTAACTACATTTGCTTTTATGTTACAAAACCTCTCTTCTGTCTTATCTTTGAGATAACATTTTTTAAAATAATTTGGTTATCTCTTACATTATTATTCTTAACTTTAGGTTATAAGACACTCGTGGATCCTTGTCCTAGGTGGTTTAAGATGAAACAAACCCTTTCCTCCCCAAGTTGCTTTTGGACATGGTGTTTATCCCAGCAACTGAAAGCACACTTGGACAGTTGTGAGATCAGTTTTACTGTGCTCTGATCAATGCAGTGTTTAGTAAAGACAAATGTGTCCCTGAGGTTTTGCTTTCCCGGGCACACACACACCAGTGAGTGAGTGTATTGTGTGACTCCTGACCTGAAATGTGTAATTTTATTCACTCCCCCCCCACAACATGCATTTTTTTCCTATAACTTGCAGTAAAAAAAAAAAAATTGAAAGTCCCTGGATTATGTTCTTCATACAACCATATGTCGTGGGTATTATGTGGCTTTGGTTTAATTTGATCAGCTAAGTAATAATAGCTCTCTGAGGAGTCGTTAAGTTTTGTAGGGAATAGACTAGTACTGCCGTGGGAATACACATGCCACGCGTGTTCAAGGAGCTTAAACCAAAGGGAAGTTTCTAAAAGGCGAAATGGGAAGACGTGTGTGAGATAGCTTGAACCAATAATCTGTGATTGCAGCACTCAATAACAATGGTTGTGCCAGTCAAAGACTAAGGAGGCAGCTGCTGGTCAGATGTCTCGGGTGGATTTCATGTGTGTGTGAAGCTGTGCTGACCTATGTTCAGAATCCTGTTTTCAGGCATCTGCTAATGAGTTCTCCTTCACCTTAACTCCCTGGCGTTATTCCTCTATTGTTTTCTAGTTCGGACTCTACAATAGTGGCCATAAGATAATGCAAAAACTGTGTTCTTGCATGGTAAATTGTTTCGCTTATGTTATGATAAATGCACATTGAAGGACTGGAGAGATGGCTCAGCAGTTAAGAGCATGGGCTGCTCTTGAATACAACTGGTTTGATTCCCAGCACCCACATGGAGCCCCACAACTGTAACTCCAGTTCCAGGGGATCCAGTACCATCTTCTGAGCATGGGGGCACCAGGCATGCATGTGGTGTAGAGACCTATATGCAGACAAAATGCATATACACATAAAATAAAAGTAAAATTAACGTGCACACTGATGAAAGTTGCCATGTTTACAATATGTAACTGTACAAATCAGTGATAGTAAATACATTCATATAGTATAGCCATTACTGTCATCATCCAGCTCATAAATGCCCATAACATCCCAAAACCGTTACCTGGGCTTAACACATGAGACTGTAGAAAGTGCTCTGCATGGCTCTAGGAACTGACCTACCTGGGACAGTGAGGGAACAAGGCAATGACAGACTCTAAAGAAACAACATACATATCCGCACAAAGGATCTGGGATCACATGGTCTGGGCTCTCTGGTGGAGAAACCACAGCACCTTCTGAAGCTCAGTTTATTTATTATATACGATTGAACAGGGAAGTGAGGTTATTGTATCAGCTGAACAAGGATTAGCCTATCTAGGTAGGAACAGTCTCTGTAGGGGAACAGTCTTCAGGCTGTAAACACCTGGAGGAGAAAACTATGGTAGACACTTTTTGAATACACTGTCAACATCTGCGCTTCAACTTGAGGAAGGCTTTCCCAGTCCCGTGACATTGAGACATAGGGGTCCTCAACTTGACCATGCCTCTGCCAACAATACACAATACTCGGGACTTTTTTCACTCCCTCCAAGACAGTTTACATCTGAACCATGCTGGCATCAAGGTTCATCCATACTGTAACACACATCAGAAATTCAAGACCAAATGACATGATGTCATATAGGCGGAGGCTTCTTGTTTGTTTCCTGGCCACCCAGACCCGAAATAATCACTCAGAAGCTATATGAATTACAACACTGCTTGGCCTATTAGCTTATGCATATTTCTAGCTAACTCTTACATCCTAAATCACCCCATCTCTATTAATTTGTGCATCACCACGAGGTCATGGCTTACCCACAAGATTCCAAGATCTGTCTCCTCCAGCAGCTACATGGCGTCTCTCTGACTCTGCCTTCTTTCTCCCAGCATTCAGTTTTGTTTTCCTGCTTAGCTCTATTCTGCCCTGTCTTAGGCCCAAGCTGCTTCTTTATTCATTAACCAATAAAAGTAACACATATACAGAAGAACTTCACACATCAATGTCTATATACACTCCTTTTGCTTATCGGTTACTCTGGTAATAAGACACCAAGGTAACTTTAGCTACTGTGACTAATGCTGCCAGGAACATGGGGACAGACAAATCTCTTCAAGATTCTGGTTTGACAGCAACTATACCATTTTATGTAACCAACGCAGCATGGAGTTTCCAGTTTCTCCATATGGCTCCAATACCTAACTTACTAGTTTTCTTGTCAGTTGCCGTTCTAATGAATATACAATAGTATTTCGTGAAAATTTTGACTTACATTTGCCCTTGTTGTATTAGTTTTTCTGTGTGGGGGATCATGGTGCATGTGCCGTGACACAAGGTCAGGTCAGGGAATTCAGGGTTCACACTCAGATCGTCAAGCTTAGTAGCAGGCGTCTTTACCCACTGGGCTAACTTGCTGACCATCATTGTGATTTTGACCTGTGTTTTCCTTACAGATGTTGGTCATCTTTGTAAAGACTTTTTTTTGGGGGGGGGGATTAATATAATTGTATCATCCTCCCCTTTCCTGTATTGGTCATTTGTATATCTCTGTTATTGACATGAACAACAAATGCTCTCGACAAACTCATGTATTTGGACACTTGGTCTTTAACTGGTTGGAGATATATAGATTCTTTTTCACGTGAAGATAAGGTGGGCGCTTTAGAGATAGGAACTGAGAACCCAAGGCCAGCTCTGCTTCCAGCTCCAAACTGT